TCAGTCAGTCAGTCAGTCAGTCAGTCAGTCAGTCTCCCTCCCTCCCTCTCTTTAATCTTTTAATTTTAGTTTTTATTTAATCAATTAACCTTCTAAAGGGCACCATAGCCAACTGCCTGCCCCCCAGGAACCCCCCACAAATTCCTCAAATCAGGTGTTGCCCTGTTGCACAACCCAAATTCCAGGCTGCTCCGTTGCACCACGTGGCACAAAGCAAAATCGCATGCTCAGTTTCTCATAGCTTCCCCTTGCTCGACCAATTGAAAAGAGAGGAAAGGCATGGGGGAAGCTGCCTTTTAAAAGCTCTGTCTCCCAGCCCCCTCCCGGAGTGTGGCATTATCAACCTGCACTGACATTGTCTAGGAGGTCAGGCAAAGGGTCCTGACTGCAGAAGCTCTGCACCTTGCGGGGTGATTTCTTAGCGGTGTGCACCACTGGAATAAAGCCCCTGAGAGCAGTCTCTGAAATTGAATTCAGACCTTGGTGCTGTAAAAGTTTCTTCATCTGTCTTTCTCATCAGCTGTACATAAATAGGTTTGAGGCTCTCCTGGCACAATGTCTTTGTATGTGTGAAGACAGAGTGGGAAGAGCTAAACTTAATACTTTAACCATAATTCAGACAAGCTTTTTGTGTACTTAGACTTTGAAACTACAGGGCTCCTGGCCGTCTCTGGCGCATCAAGGCCTTTGGTGGATCTCAAGGCATTTTGGAGATCCTGTATGTCAAGTCCTCGGTCAGCTCTGTCCCTTACCCACTTTGGCCTACCTCTTTGTAGGAGCAAAGGGACGTGGTGGCGCTGTGGGTTAAACCACAGAAGCCTGTGCTGCAGGGTCAGAAGACCAAGCAGTCATAAGATTGAATCCACGCGACGGAGTGAGCTCCCGTCGCTTGTCCCAGCTCCTGCCAACCTAGCGGTTCGAAAGCATGCAAATGCAAGTAGATAAATAGGGACCACCTCGGTGGGAAGGTAACAGCGTTCCATGTCTAAGTCGCACTGGCCATGTGACCATGGAAGATTGTCTTCGGACAAAACGCTGGCTCTATGGCTTTGAAACAGGGATGAGCACCGCCCCCTAGAGTCGAACACGACTGGACAAAAATTGTCAAGAGGAACCTTTACCTTTACCTTACCTTTGTAGGAGCAGATGCCGAATGTTACGTGTTCTCAAAACTGCTTAATTGTCCTACTGTATCATTGTTCATGGAGACAAACTGGTGCAGACTAGAATCTGGCTGCTTCCATGGGTTTGGCCATCTGTATAAGCACAAATGAAAGAACAGCTTGGTTGGTTGGTAACTAGAGTATGGACCATGTTTACAACTTTCTCCATGTGATGAGGATATACATTTATATTAAATTCACTCCTGATGTTGGAAAGGAAAATAGTGAGGAATGAAAGGATACCCAACGTATAATTTCCTCATGGCCAGTTCAAAGTGAATTGCTCATCTTAGAAAGGCAAAAGGCAAAATATGGAAAGCCTACAATGACGGCAAACACATTATGTAGCACTGGGCAGCTATAGTTATTGTTTGCTATAACTTTACTTGTTAACTCCAGACTATAAATTAGAAAGTTACTGTGAAAGAGTTAGTATATTTGGTTAATGAGCTAAATTTGACTACAGTGGACCCTCGACTTACAGACGGCTCGACTTACAGACTTTTCGAGTTACAGACTTCTCTGGCTGCAAAATTTAGATTCGACTTACAGCCAGAGAATCGACTTACAGACCAGAAAAAAACCAAAATGGAATAAAAATAGAATAAAAACCACTGGTTATGGGATTAATCGATTTTCAGTGCATTGTAGGTCAATGGAGATTCGACTTACAGAGTTTTCGACTTGCAGCCACCATTCCAATACGGATTAATTCCTTAAGTAGAGGGTCCACTGTATTCATATATTGAAAGAGGAATCTTTTAAGCAATTATGCTTTTATATTAGCTTTTAAATTTATGTTACATTGCTACACTCTAACCCTTATCAAAATGAAACTGAAAAATCCTAATCATGATTTTACCCTTTTTAGTTCACAAATTAACCTCCAGATCAAACCCCTAGTTTAAATATTGGTTAATGCTTTGGTTACTTACTTGGAATTTGACTGCTCCTTAATTACTAGTATATATGTATTTGTCTACATGCATTCAGTGTCTTTTCCCCAATGGACAACTCAAATCAGGATACCTGTTTCTCCTTCTCCCCATTTTATCCTAATGACCACCCTATGAGAAAGATTATGCTGAAGGAAAGGAATTGGATAATGGTTGGTCTGTGAATTTCATGGCTTTGGGGAGACTAGAATCTGGCTCTCCGTCAAACACTCTAACTACAACACAACATTAGATCATGAGGGAGTGAACCTACCTAGGTGAACTTGACATCACTGGAGACAGCCTCTCCCTCTCCCCAGAAGCCTTGCCTTGTTTTGGCTCTTCTCAAGAAAAAACAAAGGGGAAAAACTGAGCTGTGCTCCTTAAACAGTGAAGAGTGTTCCCCGGCTTTGTATCCTACAGCTTCCATGACTGAACAAGGAACGCCATCACAACAGGAATATTACAGAAATATTGTGCAAAAAAGGAAATTTCAATTAAAAAAATCAAAATTCTAAGAATTAAATTGGATTCTATTTGGAACTATTTAGAAGTTCCAAATAGAGTAGTCCTAGAATGAGCTGGATTTTTTTAGCATGTATACATTACTGAAACCGACATCTACATTGGCTTGGGCATGTCATGAGAATGGCTGATGGTCAGATTCCGAAAGATCTCCTGTATGGAGAATTAGTGCAGGGAAATCGCCCCAGAGGGAGACCAGAGCTGCAATGCCAGGATATCTGCAAGCGGGATCTGAAGGCCTTAGGAATGGACCTCAACAGATGGGAAACCTTGACATCTGAGCATTCAGCCTGGAGGCAGGTGGTGCAGCATGGCCTCTCCCAATTTGAAGAGACCCTTGTCCAGCAGGCTGAGGCAAAAAGGCAGTCCTGGAAACAGCAAAATCAGAAGCTGGACAGGGGACAGATTTGTCCTCAGTGTGGAAGGGATTGTCACTCTTGAATTGGCCTCCTCAGTCACACTAGACGCTGTTCCAAGTCCTTTATTCAGCGCATGTTACCATAGTCTCTCGAGACTGAAGGATGCCTAATCTAATCTAATCTAATCTAATCTAAATTGGATTAGGTTTTTTTCTTTCCATTACCAAATTTTTAACTTAATTGATAACTGATTTTAATACATTGCCTAAAATCCTCTTGGTGATTTACAGATGGATATGTTAAGTTGTGTAACCCACCTTGTGCAATCAGGCACTTGGCTTATAATGTTACCAGTGTCATATTAGGCACTTCAGTAGGATGAATTATGCAGTTCGACTTGTTATGTGCCATCAAGTCATCTCCAATGTATGGCAAAATCATGAATGAGCAATCTCCAAAATGTCCTGTCCTCAACAGCCTTGCTCAGCTCTTGCAAACTCAAGCTTGTGGCTTCCTTTAGGGAATCAGTCACCAACAGGATTATGGCCATTAGTTTCTATTTTTACCAGACATGGACATATTACTGTCCGCTGTGCATCTGCTTCTATATTGTAATGTCTGTGTAATGTAGGAGAAAAAGGTAAGACAGAAGCAGATGAACTCTCCGTGGCTGGAATCCTGCTCTGTAGCTGTGCTGGTAGCTACATTGGGGCTATGGTGGATTATGGCTATATTAATTCTATACAGATAATGCAGTTTTGAGGGTAAAGGGGGATAAGAGCAAAATCCATAGTAAAATGCCTTCTCCAATCATTATTCTTCCCTCACCCTCTTGCTTATTTTGAGTGGAAAGCCCAGGTCTTAATCATGCTTAACACTATTAAGTAAGGTAGAATTATTTTTCAATAAGATTATTTGGTTACATCTGTTCATTATTCCCTAAAGGAAATTACATTCATCTCCTGTTGTTTGTGTAATTATCAGCTTTAACATAACTGCATTTAGTTTTTCCTTTGCTTGTTTGTACGCAAGCTGAATAAAATCCTTGGAAGATATTAAACAGAAAGCACGTGCAGTCTTTCAAAAGTCCCATTGAATTTCTGTGCTTTCTTTAGGATTGTTCTCATCGATTATGCGAGACCTAGCCAACATTACACATGATGGCCCCAAATGGATTGTGTTAGATGGTGATATTGATCCAATGTGGATTGAATCTCTCAATACTGTCATGGATGATAATAAGGTAAGAAATACAATTGAAAAGACTGTAAGTATCCTAGTGTATGCAGAATGAGCTTCCTTTTCCAGATGCAAACAAATGTAAATTGTGCGATCAAACAGCTGTTGAAAATCTTACAAACTTGTCAGAAAACACATACACCACAACATTTTCAAGTTCAGGAAAGGCAACCACAATGGTGGCTATCAGACAGCAGGCCTTTTCAGTGGCCCACTCTGCCTCGAAAATGCCCTCTATCAAACAGCTGTTGAAAATCTTACAAACTGGTCAGAAAACACATACAACCACAACATTTTCAAGTTCAGGAAAAGCAACCACTCTGCCTCAAAAATGCCCTCCCTAAGGAGGCTCACCTGGCATCTTCACTAAAAGGTGATGTGTTTTAAGAACTACTCTAATGCATTTACCTCTTTGCTCTTTTATCCTACTGCTAGTTTTAATTTGATTCTAAATTCTGATATGTTTTATTGTCTGATGCCAGTTTTTCCATAGTTTTTCTATTCTGCTTCTTCAGATTTTTTTAATGCATGTCATATACCAAAGTACTTTATATTTTTCTCTAGTGCTACAGCACTTTGGTTGGTGGTCAGTTTTAAAAATGGACAAAATAAATAAATAAATGAAACAAAAAAATCTTACCTCTTACATATTTCTAAATGAATATCTCCACATAGTTGAAGAGCCGTTTATACTTTCAGAGATGGTACTGAATGTATAAATATTTGTTCTGGATTCCCAGAGGAAGCAGGAATAGCACATCTTCTGTTATTTATCACCAGTAGGATTAAACTGCGGAAGGTTAGGTCTCTAAGAATGGCAGAGTATTGACAGGTTAAGTGTGAGATGATGTTATTCTCATGCTTGAAAAAAAAAACTAGAGAAAGCTAGAGCAACATTTTCATCCTGTAAAGGTTGCAAACGTTTTAGGGACAAGTGTTATGCGCTCTATATGGGGCAGCCCCAGAAAACTACTTGGAAACTTCAATGAATACAGACAGCTGCTGCCAAAACGTTGAGTGCAGCAAAGTGCTTGGACCACATAGCCCCTTTGTTCTAGCAGCTGCACTGGCTGACTCTCCATTTCTGAGTGCAATTCAAGGTTATAGCTGATGTGTTTCACGGAGGCCACTGTGGCTCACATTGTTCTTTGTATCCTGAAAATGAACAGCTTTACTCTTTGCAGGTGCTAACGCTAGCAAGCAATGAAAGGATCCCCCTCAATCCCACCATGAGGCTGCTGTTTGAGATCAGTCACCTGCGGACTGCCACCCCGGCCACTGTATCCAGAGCAGGTAAACGGCAGGGGAGGGATGAAGGTGGCACTTCCTGGGAGAAAGAGGATTTAGTTAGTTAGTTCTTTTATCAGAGGCTCCTGAAGGAACTGTGTAAGGGGTATTCCTCTTCCTTTCTCATCCCATTTTCATTTTGTATCAAGTCCAATTAGATGAGCTTGGTACAGCCCTTAGAAAATGTCAGGCACTTTGTAAGTGTGTAACAGTAACAGTAATCAAAGACGCTTGCCAAATTTCACATGATTGTCACATTTCTAGATGTCAGTACCTGCTCACGCTCATGTTGCTCCTTGAGGATGTTTGCATTTGGCACCAATGTGCTTGTCTGCTTTATCACTTTATCACACTTGTTCAAACAAGGCAGATGAGGTGGACTTGCCATGAGAATGAATGGTGGCAATTTCATCTCAAGTACAATGAAGAAATAAACAATGGCAAGATTCAGAGCCAAAATGCATGATGTACCAAAGGAAGACACCTCGCTCCAATGTCCCAGCTGCTGTTCTTACATAATCACATGAGCTTACTATTTTTAAAAAATATATATATTTGGGCCAGTATCCTCAAGAGCAGGATGCCCCACCAATTGAGGCAAGCTGGTGCAGATATTGCCACTGTGCAAGCATTGACACCTTGAAGAAAACCCATTATCTGCTTGTGCAATAGCAATGTTTGTGCAAACAGCATGATCCGGCAGTCCTGTGCCTTGTAATTCAACTGTGGAAAGAACTGAGTGACTCCAACTTTGATTCCTTTATTTCTCTAGGGATCCTATACATCAATCCAGCTGACCTGGGCTGGAATCCCCCTGTAAGTAGCTGGATAGACAGACGGGAAATCCAGTCAGAACGAGCTAACCTGACTATTTTGTTTGACAAGTATTTACCGATTTGTCTGGACACCCTCAGAACCAGGTACAGTTAAATAGCAGAAATCTTGCTTTGATGCAGTGAAAATGTATATTGGTATGCTTTTAAAAACAATTTCTGCTAAAACCCAGGCCTGCAAGTTCCTCTTGCAACATATTTGATCAGCTTATACTGTACAGTTGTTTGAGCTCAGTATAGGTCACTTTGTATGGTTGTAAGCTATTATCTGGAAGAAGAGCAGAATACATGTGTCATGAGTAACTAATAACATGTCATTGGGTGCTTCTTTAATGATATTACCTTTGTAGAAACAGTATGATAACACCTTATGGAAAAATCATTGAATAATAATCTCCCCAAAATTCCTAGTGTGCCGTCTCCAACCTATGGCCACTGGTTTCTGTACACTGCCATGTGTGGGGAAGGGTGGCATAATCCTTTCTGCAAGTATGAGGTGCTGAATCATAAACTGAGAGCTTAGGGAGACCTTCTGTAGTAATCTAGTTTTGTCAGATAGTCTCTGTAAGTGGCTGCAATAAATTTCAACCAGAAACCAAGAAGAGCTCCAGTTCTGGACAAGGGTGAACTCATATGTACTTCCACACTAACAAAGGTTACCATGCCAATCTAGCTAGATAACATACAAGCAAAAATATTAACTTTGAAGAAGAGTGTTGGTTCAGTTTTAGGTTTTAATTTGCAGATCGTACAATAGAACTTAGTTTATAAGCTATCTTAGACATGGATCTGAACTCAGTTTACCATAATACTACTTACTTGATGTGAGCCATTGAGGAAAAGAGGAGAGCTCTAGAAGCATACAAAGTCTGTCCTAGTGAGTAGACCTTGCAGGCTATTCGACGTGTTTGTTGCAAAGTCCAACAGACTGCCAGGAGATGTTCCAATGATTATTGGCTTCAGCTCTGCTCTCAGATACAGATAGCAGCAGACACAGGTAACATCAAGGGAATGCATGACAGTATCAATCAGGCTTTAGGTCCAATACAGAAGAAATCTGCTCCTTTGATGTCTGCTACAGGCATGATCATCCAGGACTGAGCACACCAGATGGAATGCTGGGTGTAGCACTACTCTGAGCTATATTCCAGAGAGAATGTAGTAACTGGAAAGGCATTAAATAACATCAAGTGCCTGCCTGTCTTGGCAGAGTTGGACAGCAAATCAACTAGCAGAAATAAAAGCGGCCTTATATTCCCTCGTCTCCGGCAAGGCTCCTGGGAAGGATAACAGCCCTGCTGAAGTACTGTAAAGAGATCATAACCACTGAGCTATATGAAATCTTTTATCTTTGCTGGAGGGAAGGTGGAGTACCACAGGACATGAAGGATGCAAACATTGTCACATTGTACAAGAACAAAGGAGACAGGGGCAATTGCAATAACTACCGTGACATCTCTTTTTTCAGCGTTGTAGGGAAGCTGCTTGCCCGTGTTGTGCTGAAGAGGCTCCAGGTGCTTGCAGACAGAATCTATCCAGAATCACAGTGTGGATTTCGAGCTAATAGATCCACCACTGACATGGTATTTTCCCCAGACAGTTGCAGGAGAAATGTAGGGAACAACAACAGCCACTCTTTGTGGTCTTCATAGATCTTAGAAAAGGCTTTTGATTTGGTTAGCAGGGATGGTTTTTTAAAAATACTTCTCAAGATTGGATGTCCATCTTGACTCCTTAACATCATCAGGTCCTTTCATGAGGAATTGAAGGACACTTAGTTTTTGATGGCTCAACATCAGATCCCTTTGACATCTGAAGCAGAGTGAAACAGGGCTGTGTCCTCGTGCTGACCCTGTTTGGGATCTTTTTTGCTGTCATGCTGAAGCACGCCTTTGGAACTGCAACAGAAGGTGTCTATTTCCGGACTAGATCAGATGTACTGCAGCTAAAACTGTGCTCACGACCTGGGGTTCAATCCCAGGTAGCGGCTCAAGGTTGACTCAGCCTTCTATCCTTCGGAGGTCGGTAAAATGAGTACCTAGCTTGCTGAGGGGGCAATGTGTAGCCTGCATAATTAAATTGTAAACCGCCCAGAGAGTGCTTGAAGCGCTATGGGGCGGTATATAAGCAGCATGCTTTGCTTTGCTTTTAGATTGAGAGTGAAGACCAAAGTCCAGCTGAAATGCATGTGGGATTTCCTCTTCACCAATAATGCAGCTGTTGTTGCCCATTCTGCTGAAAACCTCCAACAGTTTATGAATCGTTTTAGCAAGGCCTGCCAAGACTTTGGATTATCAATCAGCCTGAAGAAAACACAAATCATGGGCCAGGGCGGGGACTCACCTTCCTCTATAACCATCTCCACGCAAGAATTGGAGGTTGTTCATGACTTTGTGTACCTTGGCTCAACAATCTCTGACATTCTCTCCCTAGATGTTGAGCTGGATAAATGCCTTGGCAAAGCAGCTACCATGTTCTCTAGACTCACAAAGAGAGCATGGCTTAATAAGAAGCTGACAGCATATACCAAGATCCAGGTCTATAGAGCCTGTGTCCTGAGCACACTCCTGTACTGCAGTGAGTCCTAGACCCTTTGTGCACAGGAGGAGAGGAAGCTGAATACATTCCATATGCGTTGCCTCCGACGGATTTTTGGTATCAACTGGCTGGACAAAATTCCAAATAGAGTAGTCCTAGAACGAGCTGGATTTTTTAGCATGTATACATTACTGAAACAGTGACGTCTACGTTGGCTTGGGCATGTTGTGAGAATGGCTGATGGTCGGATTCCAAAAGATCTCCTGTATGGAGAATTAGTGCAGGGAAATCACCCCAGAGGGAGACCACAACTGCAATACAAGGACATCTGCAAGCGGGATCTGAAGGCTTTAGGAATGGACCTCAACAGATGGGAAACTTTGACATCTGAGCGTTCAGCCTGGAGGCAGGTGGTGCAGCATGGCCTCTCCCAATTTGAAGTGACCCTTGTCCAGCAGGCCGAGGCAAAGAGGCAGTCCTGAATCCAGCAAAATCAGGGAGCTGGACAGGGGACAGATTGTATTTTTCTTCATTGTGGACGGGATTGTCACTCTCGAACTGGCCTTCTCAGCCACACTAGATGGTGTTCTGAGTCCTCTATTCAGTGTATGTTACCATAGTCTCTCAAGACTGAAGGATGCCTAATCTAACTTATTATTCAGGATGTAAGTCCAGAAAAGTGCATATCAAACCACACTCGTATTGAGTCAGATGTTGGCATTCCTAGAGGGGTCCTAATTATATCTTCTCCTAGAATGAATAAATGCATGTTAATAATTATTACAAAGGGGTTGAGTATTTGATTCCTCACCTTGCCTCCAAGGTGAGTGAACAAGGGAATGGCAAACCACCCCTGAGTACTGTGTACCTAGAAAACCCTGGAAAAGATCATTTGGAGTCAGAATTGACTTGACGGCACATTTACATTTAGACACCTCCAGTGGCTGTCATAGAAGAGTAACCAATAACCAGATGTGAGATGCCCTGGACATAATCTTAAAACAATATACATGACTTGGAGAGACATAAATGTGCTAGAAATAGTAGCCATAATGCTGTGAAATTTATCCGTTTATATATAGGTGGAAAAGTGTTAAGAAAGCCATGTTTCATTTCAAAAGAGGAAGCTTTTACAAAATGAGGGAACTGATAAAAGAAGGTTGAAAGAGAAGGTCAAGTCCTTCTAGAATACTCTGGGATTTCTCAAATTGACCATAATAGGAGTTCAGCTGGAAAGCATAGCACAGGTTGAGGAAGTCTAAGAGGGCAGCAGCATGACTAAGAAGCAGAGTCAGACGATTAGAAGACAGAATTAGAAGACCTGTTTAGATGGGGAAAAAAAGTGACTGATGGCAGCACATGCAGCAAATATCAGAGAGCAGAACAGTTCTGAAACCATTTCTCCTACATTGTTAGAAAGATGAGTGAGCTGTGTGGTGAATTGGTTGGTGCAGGGGGGGGGGCTAGGACTAGGGAGACCTAGATTTATATCTCCACTTCATTGTGAAGCTCACTGGCTGCTCTTGGTCAAGTCACAGGCTAAAATTTATTTATTTATTTAATTTATTTAAAATGCAGCTATAATAAGCTTGTTGAATCAGTGGGAATTTGACGGGTTAACTCTTCCCCTGTCTAACAGGGTTGCTGTTGGGATAAAAACGAGGAGGGTAAAAATATGGAAGATGAGGAATTCTTGTGGGGAAAGGTAGAAAAATAACAAATATTTTCTGGGTGTCTTTTTTAAAAAAGGACATAAATTCTTAATACGGTATCCTTAGACCTCAGAACCCTAACGGGTGTTGAATTTATGAGTGAGACAGATGGGAAAGGATCTTTTCTTTTTGCTTCCACCTTTTTTCCTTCCAGTAGTTTTCACAAATCCAACCATCAGTGAGATTGCCTTGGAGCCATGAATGAGGCAAGAGGAAGACAGCCTGATGTCTTGGGTATGCTCCATGTGGATCTCTCAGGATGGGTAGCAGATGGTTTCAAAATCAGTGTATTTTCTAGAGCTAGCCTCTCCGATAACTATAATTTTTTTTAGCAAACTGTAGGGCTGCTCAGGGTTCACATGTCTGTAAATGTAGCCTAGGCCATGTAAAATATGAGATGAAAGGGCTTATTTTATTACTCTGTTATTTGACCACTTCTGAACTCATTTCATTTGTGGCAAATCAGTGCCCTTAGCAAGGCTTCCATTTCACTTCTTTCAAGAGGATCAAAGTTTTAAAATGGCTCAAACTTATGATTACAGTTATTACTTGGCTGCGTGCTGATGGTATTTTATTCCTCTCTGTACCACTGGGTAAGAAAGATATACACAATTGAAGTTTTTTAAATGTTAATGTTCAGAAAGAGGATTTATATGCCTATCTGCTCATATTGTTAAATGGCAGTCATACTAAATCCAATTAAACTTCATAAGTTTCAATTCTTCCATTATAGATTTAAGAAGATTATTCCAGTTCCTGAGCAGAGCATGGTTCAGATGCTGTGCTACCTCCTTGAATGCCTTCTTACCAAAGAGAACACCCCACCAGATTGCCCCAAGGAGCTCTATGAGCTTTATTTTGTGTTTGCTGCTGTCTGGGCTTTTGGAGGTGCTTTGTTCCAGGACCAGGTAAGAAAATATATACCTGTGACAGTTCTGATGGATGTGGCTTCACATTTTAAATTAGCAGCTTCCTGGAAGGCTGTGCTTCACCTCCAAAAGGGAGGGGGCAGGGCAGCAAACAGCAGGATCTATATTGACATCTGGGATGGGAAATGGATTCATAGCTGCTCCATGTAATGCTAGAGCAGCGATGGCAAACCGTTTTGAGCCTGAGTACCCAAACTGGTGGGGGGGGGGAACCCGGCAAGTGGTGGAAGCGGCAGTGGCAGAAATCAAAGTGACAATGGAAGGGGGAATCCTGGGCATGGAGATGTGTCCAGACCCTACTCTGGATCCGCCTCCCAACCCCTGCCAGCATCAACTGCTCTGGGTGGGTGCCTGTCGGGGTGCTAGGACCATGGCTGTAGCCACCTCCTCAGGTTTGGCTGCCGGGGGTAGCGATCCTGTGACTTATGGCTCGTGTGCCCACAGAGACGGCTGTTGCACGCGTGCCATAAGTTCACCATCACTGTGCTAGAGGAACCCAGAAGTGAAAGGTAACCCTTACTGAAAGGTGGGATAAATTGGAATCAGAGAGACCTTAGTTAGTCAGAGGAACATCCCCCAGAAAAGAAGAGACTTGTTATATACATTTCTGCAACATGGTAAACCTAGGTTCTGTGGGAGCCCCAGCTTATCATGGGCAAGGCAGAGTGCTGGTTCTTCTTTCCCCAAATGCTGTTGTTTGTAGCGGGAACAGCTAAGACATGAACTACCGTAATCTGTGGTTTCCTTTAGCTGGGATTCTGACCTGTTTCTCTCCCACCGATTCAGAATCCAGGGTATATTTATAACTTCTTGTAGTAGAAACATCGCAGAATACAGTATTAGCTGCTGTCAATTTTGCACATTTTGCTATGTTTGTAGCTTGTTTAGCCACTCCTGCAGCCAACAGGATTTACCAGGTAGAATGCATTGCCATATTGCTTTTTGTAAGCAGACTAAGGCTCCCATTAGATATCTGGCTTATTGTGGCCAGTGAACTGTAACATACTCACTAGGGAGAAGTGTTATTGAAGTTCACTCTGCAGAGTTTGGCGCCCTTTCTCTCTCTCTTTGTGTGTATTTCTATCCTAGCATGAGGTTTCCACATTGAAATGAGAATTGGTAGCAACTCTAAACTTGCACTCTTATTGTACATTTGTAGGACTTAAATTCGGTGTAACGGAATCCAAGCAGTGGTTCTGCTATTGCTAAACTGATGCTGAAAGTACATTGACAAATACTTTGGGATTTGCTCCACAATTAGCAAATTGTATTTTTCAATGATCACATGGTGCGAACACCAGTGCAAATCAGCCTGGTTTCTTTTGCTTCTAATTTGGAGTTTTTCTCTCTGCCACTGTGGGCTCCCCACCCCACCCCAAGGTGGAACAATTTGAACAGTATATCTGTGAAAATTCTCAGTCATTCAAGTGTGGTTACCTGGAAGTTGAGTCATGGCAACTGGGCACCTTTCTTGTTAGGCTGAAATGTTTTGCTACTCATCCAAGTAGCTTATTCAGATACTTAGATAAGTAGGGAAACATTTCACCCTAACAAGAAAGAAATCCACTTCTGGCTTGACGCTGTGATGAGAGAGCAGCAGGAGGACGGAGCTCCATCCCCTGGGCTGAATTCCCTGTTTGGAACCCCCGCTAGGGGGTTAAAACCACCCCAAAGAGGTGGTGAAATGGGGGAGAAACCTGTTGATCATGGGGGGGGGACACACAGTGGTTACCCACGTTTGAGCCAGGAAACTCCCCAGTCAACTAGCGGGCAGAAAGAAGCAGCTGAATTATATTGCTTGCAAGTCGTCGACAGCCGGCAAAAGAAGAAGTGATAAATCAGCCAATTTAACATCGTTGTTACCATTGGGTGAGATACAAAATCTTGATTATACTGCTCTATGACTATCCCTGGATGGATTAGTCCCTTTAACAGAAAAAAAGCCCCCACCCCTAAATTGAGCAGTGGTGGATCTGGAGAAGGGGAAAGAGATGCAAAAAGATGCAAAGAAAATAAATTGGACATTAAGTAAACACTTAATTATACTTCAAGGAAGCAAGTTTGGTATTAGTTCGGTGTCAAAATCAAGAAATTTTCCTCTTAAAATTATTTTAGCCAAACAATGCTGGGAGTCGAACTGTTATGACTATCTATAGTGTTGGGGGGAAAGCCCAGAACATGACCTAGGACACTCAAACTCAGAACTTTGTTTTGACTTTCCTTCCTCCCTCCCCCCCGAGAACTGACTAAAACATAGACAATTAACTTTGGAAAGTCTAATACAACAATAAGTGAATGGGGCTGTCAATTTATGTCAGAGACTGGATTCAAATTAACCCTAAAGATGATCAACTCACTGAAGTGGACTTATTAAAGCAATTATTGTTGAAACTGGACTGACTGCTCTAAGCTAATGGACATATTTTACAGTGGTGCTTTGCTTGATGACAATAATCTGTTCCAATGAAATTGTTGTCAAGCGAAAGTAAAAAGCCAATTGAAATGCATTGAAGACCACTCAATGCATTCCAATGGGTGAAATACCTCATCGTAAAGCGAAGATCCTCCATAGGGCAGCCATTTTCCAGTTCCTGTAAAGTGAGGAAACACAGCAGGGAGCCATTTTGAAACAGCAGGCAGCCATTTTGAAACTCGACGATCAGCTGTGTTGATCGTCGTAAAGCGAAAAATCGGTTCCTGAAGCAGGGAACTGATTGTTGTCAAGTGGATTTCCCCCATCTAAACACCATTTTGCGATCGCAATAGTGATCACAAAATACTCATCGTGAAGCGATTTCATAATCCACCGGGGTAAGCATCTACCAGGGCACCCCTGTACTTGAAATATGAGTACTTGGCATCTTGGGACATAATACTACAACAAGGGAAATTTTGGGATGAAACAAAATCTACCCTTCAAGCAATCTTACAAATTGTGAGATACCATAACGAAGACGTGAAATCATTCAAGGAGCAACTAAAGAAAGGCTATATTCAACAGGAGACAGGGAATAGTGAACAAGGAAAGGATGATGTATGTCAACCAAAAGAAGGGCTGGAGGAAATCAGAGGAAAAAATTTAGGAGAATTAATTCTAACCTTAGAGCCGAGGAGAATTTTAGCTGTATTAAGGGAAGATAAGGGGAGAAAATCAGCAGAATTAATTAAAAACAGCCTGGAAGATCTATTGGAGATAGATCAAGTGCATAAAGATCTATTGAAGATAGATCAAGTGTATAAAATGTTTTCAGATGACACAAGGGACGGCAGAATGTTTAGGGAGATAAAAACAAGAATCGGGAAAAGACAAATAAGAGAAGGAGTTACTTAGAAAGATGAAAAAGGGAAAAATATTAAGGTGGCCCTCAGCATTGAAAGCATGTACAGTGGTGCCTCACAAGACGAGGTTAATACGTTCCGCAAAAATCGGTGTCAAGTAATTTCGTCGTTAACCGAAACACGGTTTTCCATTGAAATGCATCGAAACCCTGATAATCCATTCCAATGGGAACGGATTGCCATCGTAAAGCGAAAATTGCCATAGGAAACATCGTTAAGCGAAACTCGTTTCTCAAGCGAACACAGCAGTCTAACGAAACAGTGACCATTCAAAGGCCGAAGCGAATCCGAGCTGTCAAAACCATTGTAAAGCGAAACACAGGGACCTGGAAATTAACCGTCTTGCGAGGCAAGGTTCCCACCATCGTAGAGCGAAAATCGCCCATAGGAAACATCGTTAAACAGAGCGCAAGATTGCTCCGGAAAACTAATTGTTAAGCGAATTCGTCATTAAACGAAGCAATCGTCTAGTGAGGCACCACTGTATATACTTAACTTCTGGAATTATAAAGGGGCATATCTTATATATTATAAAGGGGCATATGTTATATATTAAAAAAAAGGGAATTAAACTGAAATGAGGGATCATTAATTAGGGTAAAGGCATAACACGGTGGTTTTAAAGGTAAATTTAAGCTCAATATAAGGATGGGGCAAAACAAATAGTAATGAATATATATTACATATGATATTGATACAGACATGATAGAAAATGTGGAGATAGAAATGGCTAAACAATTATATAAAGGAAATCTGTATAAAATGCTTTAGATAACACCTATTAGGACCTGCTTAGTTATTATTGGTATAAAATACAAAGTTCGTCAGTTAAATCACCTCAAAATTATACAGATTTGGAACCAGAATTATTTTTATTAGGTATGTTTCTAGAGGATTTTGAGAACATTGTATGCTCTGAGAGCAATATTATAATAGTAGCCAATATTGTATACTAAAATACACACACAAACTGTTTAAATGTTTAAAAAATGTGCAGATTTTGAAGAGACTACTAAGAAGACACCAAGACGCAAAAACCAGATAATTATAAGCAACCCATGTAACACAATGTTT